TGAAAATTATGGACCAGTGAGACTCATGAATCCATCTACCATAGACCAACGGTGATGACGCGCATTCAGTTGGATTCGTTACAAGCACAGCGAATTGGGCGCTGGAGCACATATGGAGCGGGGCATAGTATAGAGACCTGAACACACAAAGCTGCCCCTTCTAGTCCTCCAGGACTAAGCCTGGGGGGAGAGGGCGGTGAGTGAAGTCAGTTCTCCGAAATCCATCCTCCTCCTAGGCTCAGTCCGCATAGCGATGCACCCCTCCTCCCCCCCCCCTGGGTACACCAGCGCCCGAGCCGTTGGGCGGTCTCTGCTTCGAGCTTGTGCGTCCTCTCTGCGCAGTTCCCAATGAAAAGTTATTGGTATTGGTGGAGGGCTAAATTGAACTGTTATTAAACTGTAAAAAAACGTGTTTTATGATAAGTTTACAAAATTACAAATCACATATTCAACTAAATTTAATTTCAGTTACTTGGGTAGTTTATACTCACCTTGCATACTCGCCAAAGTTGTTGAAGTTCCATTCGCCTGTCTACTGCCGCATTGTATCTCTGATAAGTATTTTCTGAAGCGGATGAGGTGAGTTTCTTTTCGCTGTGATTCGACGTTCCCTAGTATGGTTTTGTTTTCAGGTACCAAGTAGGTGGTACCGTCGCTGCTTGTCGAATAGCACTGGATCGCGGATGGGCTGTACATTTAGGTGGAGGATTTCACCATGCCTATCGTGGGTTTGAATGCACTCATATATTAGTATCGATAACCTTTACTTAGGCTGGTGTCAAAGTCCGCGATCCGTCGCGCGATTCGCGCGATCGCAAAAATCGCAAGTGCCCCATTTGAATTTGAAACACTGAATATGAAACAAGTAGAATCATGAACAGTCGTCATTCAACCATCACCATCAAGCAGAAATGGCGGCGGATTGGGATTGGAGAGCACCTTCGCAGTATTGATCGGGCACTTGTGATTTCTGTGATCGTCGCGCGATTCGCGCGAACCGCGCGACGAGTCGCGGACTCTGACGCCATCCTTACTCATGCTATCATAACGCCGTTCTTGGACAACGGGTACTGGTTGCCTGCCAATAGTAGTGGATGGGGATTCTCGCAGAGTGGGAAGATGGGAAGAAGCTGAGAAGAGAAGTGATGGTCAGATGAAGTTAACTCTGGACCGTAAACTTGGTGCGGAGAGATCAGTGAAGGCTTACCTCTGGACCGTAAACTTGGTGCGGAGAGATCTTCTAGCCTAGCCTACCCATGTTGTTTTGCAGATTCTCCGGTGGCAAGCACTCGCACTCGGTCCCTTCTTCTCCTCCCTAGCGTTAGCCCCGCGCAGTCGCACGGTTTGCTGAAGCTCGCACTCGGTCCCATTTTAACACGGTGCGACAATGTGTTTTGATGTTTTTGGCATGTGGGATCCACGCGATTTTGCGACCGCATTTGTCGCGGCACACATATCCGCCACACGGTCCGACGTGGCCTGCAAATCGCGGGATATGTATCCCCACGCTGTCGTCAATGGGTTAACGTTTTTTAGCTCAAGTAACTGAAGCATTATGTTTACCAAAGCTATATGTCTATCTACTGAGGGCTAGCTCATGATACAGCACCGCAACGGAGTAAATTCTCACCACATTAATTATCGAGAAGCCGAGCCTCGCTAAGGTGAAGGGTCCTGTCACGAATTTAGCCTTTGGCTTTGGGCTGGAAACGACCGAAAAGGCCAAAAATCAAACGTGTTGGATATCACGGCTTCATATCGGGTCCTCATTGTAACCTGACTGTGAAAATTCGGTACCAGACGTGGACAATTGAGCAATGAGACCATCGCAATGAATCTGGCAGGTGTTCAGGCACCTTACGCGATTAGATCAACAGGAGTATCCCTTCTGCACCAGCGGAAGGTATTCCTGGGTCGAACCTCTGCGGATTCGGCCTCTTCGCGATCAACTAGCTGGAGTATATTTGCGGCCTGAGGACCTGCAACGTGGCACCAAAGGGCGACATACACCACCGTTGCTCTGTCTGCTATTGCTCCCGCTAGGCCGATGTCAGACTTTGCGAATCGCGCGATTCGCTAGCGTCCGCGGTCGCGTTGCGGTACCAGCCAATTGAGTGATTCACTGGCCGCGACGCGACCGCAGACGCTAGCGAATCGCGCGATTCGCAAAGTCTGACATCGGCCCTACCCTCTCCATCTGTCGGTTCTCTACCACTTCACGCTTCAGGAGGGTGAAAAACGGTCGAGAAAGTCCTTAACAAGGAGGTTTTTCTTCCGATTGGAAGGAAGGGTATCATAAGGGTATGGATCAACAACGGGACACAAGATGGATAATTCTTGAAACGTTTCAGAGTATATCCAACCTTACCGTAATCCAGGTCTATTTTCCAGGTACTAATGGAGGCGGATTTTGTGTATATGCTGATATTTCACTTGCATTGAAAATTCTATTTGCACTGCAACTTATAGAAAAAGCTATGATAGTCGACGTAGATGCCCATCAGGTAGGACGTTTGACCGGACTTCGTGAAGAACACACAAACAGCGAACAGAGCTTCGGGTACGGTTCACTAGGACAGAAAGCGACTTTCGCGTTTCGCGCGCGAAAATTTTTCGCTGCAGGAACTCCAAGTCCACTCATGATCAGCTGTGGACCTGAGGTTCCTGCAGCGAAAATAGTTTCGCGCTGCGAAACGCGAAAAAGTCGCTTTCTTCCTAGTGAACCACACCCCAGAGCTTCAGACACACAAGCATAGCCCTTTATGTACAGGGCAGGGGGTTTAGAGGGGGCAGAAAAAGGCATTCCGCGTAATAACCTTCCAACAGCAGCTATTTGTAGGAATGTGCCCTACAAAGCTTGGCTAAAACGGCGAGCTGACACACATAGGAGTGTGTAATCGAATCCCTTCACATTCCGAATGCAATCTGGATGCATGGCGTATCCTAAAGAGAGACTCGCTTAGCGGCAAACACTAGATCATCCCATATTTCAGGGTAATGGGCATGAACGCGATTTTGGTAATGACGAACGCGTATTTATTCTGGACATTTATAATCCACGATATAAAATTAATCCAATTACACGGGATCACAAGGCGAGGAGGGGATTTCACGGATCGTACTGTTGGTTCGATGACTCCGACAGAGAGTACTTAGGTGAGTGCTTCTATATGGCGATTCATTTTATGTTCCGATCTCAATGGCCACAATTTCTTTAGCCATAAACTCCCATAAACTGTCTTTGAAAGTTCAACCGTTGATAAAGCCAGCAATTTTCATGCAGGACTGCTTTCGCAGTTCAGACCTTACCTTAGCACGTAGACCTAGAATAGGTATTGATTTTGGGCTCACCTTATCAGTACCCAACTCATTCCCTCGTATGGCGAGGGGATGTGAATCAGTCCAAGGGAACGTGAGGGATCTATAACTACAACATATACTTCATCACTACAATAATGCCAGCAATCATACCATGAAATGTGATATCTTGGTATGCGCCACGCCTCCTATCCCATTAAGAGTCGTCGTGACATTTGAATGGCCTCTCCAAAAGAATTTCGAGCGCCAGCCGATAAAGAAACCAATGTTCTCATCATTCTTAACTGATCTAATGCGAATTACCCAACTATGTATGGAGAGATGGAATGCTTGGCTGGGGAAAGCACCCGATCCAAGATTTGACCCTTAGACTGTATTTGTGATAGGCGGCGCTAATTGTCATCGCACCACCTCCATCATGACTTTTAGTGATATATTAAAAGGATAAAGCAATCATTAATCAGCTTGGGATACGCCACACATTCTACTTCCACTTGTTTTTATCTTCCCAGACAATTCCCGTACCTATTGTTCTACCTCGGAGGAGCGATAGGCTTGATTGGGCTTGACGATGGAGTCAGCACATCAAGCGATGATCCACAATTTAACTCCAGGAACTCGCGTTGGAAAAGGCGCCACCTGCCATTACACCACTTTTGCACGAGTTCTAAGAACATTCACAAAAAATCTGTCGTAGGCTGCATTTATGCTCGGAGAATCGGGGAGCGATGCCGTACGTTGCCTGCTCTCCCTACTATGCTATTCTTAGCCAGGGTCAACCGTGCGGTCGCACTATTCGAACGATGGGGTCGCATATGTGGTTCTGGAAAGGGGGGATCGCATCTAGGGGTTGAGTGGGATGAATGGGATTAGTAAATTGTTTGTTGAGCCCCCTCTCCCCACCCCTTCCCCCGCTTGACGGCGTTTTGGAGGGAAAAGTGGGAAAGTGGGCGGAGTTGGGCTGTGTCGACTGATCTCACCATCAGAATCAAATACTCAAATATTATAGAAACAGCCATACAGCCATGATGGCGAGTGGTGGTCGGGGTAGGGAGAACGGTGGTCGTATTGGGGAGCCTCCTGAATCTCATGGTGGTGTGGGGGGTCGCATCGAGACCCCCTAAAGGGGGGGGGTCGCGAAATTTTGAAAAAGTGCGAACGTCACGGTTGACCCTGCCCCCCACCCCCTAGACTGGCTACACTCCCCTGGCTCGGAGTTACCCTAGCTTTCTGGAAAAACTGCATCATGATGCCCCCTAACTGGAATGGACCCCGT